GCCACACCACAATCCCTTCTCCATTCTCCTCCTGGGATCTTGGGTATGCATGCACAAGCACCCAATGTTAATATCAAGCCACCAGGTCTGGGACTTGAACTGCAGTAGGCCATGTGGGAGTCCAGTGATGTAACCGCTATGCCATCTGCTGGTCCCGACATGAATTACTTTTTAAAACACAGAATATATTTCTAATATTTGTATAAAGAACTTGAGCTTTTTAGACCTCTAAATCTATAATGAGCTATAATTTTTTCCCAACTGATAAATAAGATAGTATTAGCTAAAAATGGAAACATTTGATATTTCAACCCTAATTATCTTAATGTTTTCTCTGAAATATAGTAATATAGAAGTTGGATAAATAATTTATATCAAATTATATTATATTACAAATTTAGCTGGTGAAAATTACCATTAAAAATGAGTCAAATTGAAATGCTTAAGATATTGTATTTCTTGTCCTGCATATCATTTTGTTTAATAGCATTTAAAGAAGATAACAAATATCTTTAATTTTTAATTCTTTATATTTCCTCATCAGGAATTTTATGATAGCAAAACAAATTGTGGCTTTTCTGTTTCATGAAACTACTGACAGTCTAAAGAATGTTAAGCTTAATTTGGAAAGATAATCCACAGCAATTGTCATCTTTTCTTATCATCATAACCATTAATATATTTGGCCAACTCATCAGATAAGGGGTAGATATTTTTGTCAGATATTAAAATTCATACTTTTTAACGTGAAATTTTACCTGGACTCTCCCTACCACCTTCTCTAAAAACATCATGATTTAGAAAACAAGGAAAAATAAAATGTAATGAATGTGAAAATTTAATTTTTAAAATTCAGATGCATATTCTAGGTCATTGTGTGTGTGTGTGTGTGCATGTGCGTGTGTGTGTGTGTGTGTGTAGTTGGGATGCTAGATAGATGCCATGCCAGTTGTAGAATCCTATCAGCCCACGTTGTGAGGTGTGCGTGTTTGTCTATGTATCCATAAATGTACATACATGATAATTACACTGTATAAGAGCACTTTGGTTGGTCTCTTTAGAATCTGTGTTAGTTCATATTTTCAGAAAGAATAGATTTTAACTGATTTTCTAAAATCTTAAGTTATGCTTTTAGTATTGTTTAAGCATATGGATTTCAGATTTAGAACTAAAAATAGAAACATTTTCAAAGCAAAATTCAGTCTATATATTTGTGTCTATTAGGAGATGTGTGTGGGAAACTCAGATCTGAGCAACACATTATTTTGGTAATGAGGAGTTTTTAATGTGTCTGTATATTTTTTGAAAGTACCTTAAAGTTAGAGTAAAAATGTTACCCCCATGTAATAACCATGATATATTTTACTCAAAACAGTATTTTGAACTGTAATAGTTCAGGTTATTGTATTTTCTTACAGTGTATAGGGAAGAACATTCAGTTATTAATGTTTTATGTAAGATTTATTTAAAATGGATATTAGGTGTCTTTATATTGCAAATTTCAAGTATTAGTTTTTTGAGAATGAACAGCTATATAAGTAAAATCTACTTAGGTAAAAACTCTTTAAAATAAAATGTATGATTACTGATATAATAATTAATATGTTTTTGGGTTTTAGTTAAACTTAGAAAATATCTGCCCATTATCATCAGTGTATGCTTTTTTTTTTTTTTTTGCAAGTAATTTATTTTCCCAAAATATGCTTAAAGTTGTTTTTCTGGCATAATTTGTTTGAACTGTGGAATGTACATGATTTATTTTAATATTGTAAAAAAAAGTATAGGTTATTGCATCTTTTGTATTATAGCTTCATGTGAATAATTTACCATTTCTTTTGTTTTCCATTGAACTATTCAGTGGTCGGTGAAGATGGTAAGCCTTGTGTGCTGATCTATATACTGTGCCAACATTAAGTAATCTCAAAACATTGTTTTGTTTAATTCAAAACAAGTGGTAAAGTACATCCCACATTTTCACCTTGTTTGTTTTTTCTTTTTATAATTTGATCCATAGTCCAACATAATACCAGTCCCTCTTAATGTCATAGGATTAGAAAATAATGTGGTTAACTGTCATCAGCCCATTAAGTTCTTAAATGTTACTGGGGAGAGTCTTTGTCATGTTATAGAGGAGAACAAAATTGTGGTTAAATATTATTTTAAAAGCAAAAGTTCATGTTTTATGCAAATGAAAAATTTAGTGAAAATTATTTTTCCTAACTCCCTTTAAAAAGATCATATAAATTTCATTGTTTTACAAGCATTATTCGATTTTTTTTTTCCAGAAAGAAAAAGACTTTTTTAAAAAATCTGATTTTATTATGGAATTAGTGTTCTGTTCTTCTGTATTATTCGAGGGGCAGAGCAGCACAAATAATGTAAATATTGTGTGTATGTGTGTGTGCGCGTGCATGTTTGGGATATTCTTGTGTACGTTTATTTCATACACATTAATGTAGCCACATTATGAAGAACTGACCCCCAAATTACTGAGTGCTTGAACAGGAAGTTAAATAAAATAGCTTTTGGAAAGTAGACCAGACCACTCTTGTTTATAAATTCCCTTTTAGTAAAAGAAGTTAAATGTTTCAGAGGGCTTCTTTACATCCTTAGGAAACAGAGTGAGTTTAATCTTTGTATATTATATAAGAATAGACTATAATGTCAAAAGGCATATTAGAAATGAAAGTGCCTAGGTATCTACTACTAATAAATTTGAAAACAGAGTTGGATTAGGATAAGTGGAAATCTGGCATATTTACTTGTAGGTAATTGTGAGTTTATTATAATATTGGGTTGTAGGAAAAGTCATGATGCATTTTTGCATAGAAAAACAGAAACATATATCATGACTTTTTTACCCCAAAACCCACTGTATTGAAATGCTTTTCTTTATTTCATTAAGTAGTTTTTAGAATATTACCCAAAAGCCTGCACTATATTGAAATGCATTTTTTAAATTCATTAAGTAAATTTTAGAAATTAAAAAAAAAATTAATTAGAAATATTTACCTTTGGTACACCTAACCTGTTAATTTACCTTAAGAATTAACTACTCAGTTTAAAGGAACATCATATAGAAATTTTACCATTCATTTATTTAGGTCAGACTTGGTTGATTGACATTCTTATTTCTTTTTTTTTTTGGAGAGGTTTTTCCCTGTAGGGCGCGTGCGCTCGCCAGACAAAGACAGAGAGGCAGAAAGCAAGAAATCACCCCCCATGAGGGATGGTCACGCCACAATCCCTTCTCCTCCATTCTCCTCTGGTGATCTTGGGCACGCACGCACACGCGCCCGGCATGAGTTTTAAGCCACCGGGTCCGGGATGCGAATCGCGGTCGACTATGTGGGAGTCCAGTGACATAGCCATTACGCTAACTGCTGGTTCCCGACATTCTTATTTCTGGTGACTGGTAGATGACAAAACAAAAGCCACTTAGACAGGGTGCCTTATTTATTTTAGGCAAGCTTGTTGAATGTTCATAATGTACAGGCTGCTCAGGAAAGATTCTAGAGATTCTGTCATTAATTAAATGGTACATTTGATCATAGCTTGTGGTAAAAATAAGTTTTCTTTTTTTTTTTTCAAGAAAGATTTTTGCTGTAGGGCACGTGTGCTCTCTGGAGAGAGAGAGACAGAAAGTGAGAATCACCCCCAGAGGGATGGCTACACCACAAGTTCCTCTTGGGATCTTGGGCATGCATACATGCACACGCACCCGGCATGAATTTTATTTAAGTCACTGGGTGTGGGACTCAAACCGTGGTCAGCTACGTGGGAGTCCAGCGATGTAACCATTACGCCATCTGCTGGTCCCAGGTTTTCTTTCTATCATGAAAGTAAGTGAAGCATTCTTATAGATGATAAAATAAAGCTATTTAACAAATGATTTAGTCACAAACGGTCCGAAGAGCCAGAATGCATCTGCTCTGAGAGCTCATATTATAACACTTTAAAAAAATTGAACCATCTTCATATTCCTAAAAATAACTCTTTTGAAAAGAAAAAACAAAGAATGATAGGTATCATTAATTTTTGAGCTATATAAGTAAATACTAATTTATTTTAAATGAACCTTGTAATTGCTGATAGTGGTTCTGTTGCAATTTTTAATAATTTAGCTAAAGTAACAATAATTAAAATTCGAGCCAGAAATAAACATCTGATTGGTAGTATTTTAAAAAAAAATTACATTGTTTCCTGAATGTCAAAGCACTGAAAAATTTTCAGATATCAAGTATTCTTTCTAAAGAAGGATTGTATCTTTCTTTGGATTATATTTTTCTTTCAGGAACAACTGAAGTATGTTACTTGGTTTTACAAAAGGATAATTGAAAATATACTCTTTGTTGGAATTTAATTTCTATTTAGTGGATAGATCTACCTTTTGTTTTTTTAATAATCAGATATGTTTTGATTCTCAAGAGTGACTTAATAAACAGTCATTCAAAGGCTATAGTATTAGAGTATATTTTATTAATTACATTGTCTCTATGAGGTAAGTAGCTTACTTAACTCATAAAAACTTACTATTTTTAGTTTGAATATTTAAAACATTCTGAATATTATGGCAATGGGTTTGATTTGGGAATATGGTGATATGTTGTGTTTAAAACAATGACTCGTATAGATGAGAAATGTTATGTGTTTCCATTTTGTTGTTGTTGCTGTAAGAAGGTTCATATGTATTTGTTTTAATTCTGCCAAGACTTGAAAATAGTGTGATTATTAATCATTATCAATTATCTGTATCTGGTAATATTTTTACCTGTTTGTTTCCTTGGTTTTTATAAAGTGAATGAAATGTGGGCTCTTCAACACAGTTAGCATACTACACATATATACACACATACCTACATATGCTTCCTCTTTTAATAAGGGGTTGTTTGAGGCAAATTTGAAATTAAAGTTGACATATATTCTTATTTTATCAGGTATATTTGGAAAATAAAATTTCCTGAAAATATGTTTTATGATGATTTAGATTCTCCTTTCAGGGCCCAGCTCTAGAGGATTTCAGTCATCTGCCACCAGAACAGAGACGTAAAAAACTACAGCAGCGCATTGATGAACTTAACAGAGAACTACAGAAAGAATCAGACCAAAAGTATTGTTCTTTTAAGTCCTCTCTATCATAATTACTTCTTTTAAGGTCCACTTTGAATGATGTGCTTAAATGTGATATATAGAAGATTTAAAAATCATACATCCTAATTGAAATATCTTTTGGGAGAAAAATTTACTCCTAAACTGGAAAATTTTATGGTTGCCGTGTCACAGATAAAAATATTAAAGAATGAAATATTTAATGAAATATTAAATGAAATATTAAAGAATTATTTTGGTTACAGATTTTTTTTATTGGATACTAATATTTACACATTTGCCAAATTACTTAATGACTCATATTAAGAGTAGTTTTACCAACATTAACCACTTTTTTGGTTGTTGCTTGTTTTTAAGGTTTTTGCCATAGGGCGTGTGCGCTCGCCAGAGGGAGACTGAGAAACGGTGAGAGGGAAAGTGAGAAATCACCTAGGGGAGGGCCACACTGTAGTCCCTTTTTCTCAGTTCTCCACCTGGTCACACCACAATCCTTTCTCCTTTCTCTTGGGGTTTGGGACAGGCATGCACACGTACCTCACCTGGTGGTTTATTTTTCAAGGCCATGTGGGATCTAGCCGCCATAAACTGCACCACCTGCTAGCCCTCAGTTCTGTTCTAAAGAAAGATAATTGAAAAGTATATGAAGAGTAGATAGTATAGAAAAGAGAATTGGAGGCAGGAAGATTCCTTAGGGAACTTTATAATAATCTGGGTGAAAGGTACTGAAGATCTAAATTCAGGCATGGCCATGGGTATAGAGAGGAAGAATAGATACAAGATTCATTTCAAAGCCAAAGTAGGATACACTTTTCATCTGAGTTGATGTTTGAGAAGAGTAAAATAGAAGAGGTTAAGAAAAACAAAAACAAAAACTTGGGGACCAGCAGATGGCATAATGGTTACATTGCTGGACTCCCCCATGGCTGACTGTGGTTTGAGTCCTGTACCTGTCAGCTTAAAACTCACACCAGGCAGGACCAGCACTTGGCGTAATGGCTATGTCACTGGACTCCTATGTAGCTGACCGTGGTTCGAGTTCCAAACCCGGTGGCTTAAACTCAGGCTTAAACTCACGCTGGGTCCATGTGCATGAATGTCCAAAATCCCAAGGGGAGAATGGAGAAGGGATTGTGGTATGACCATCCCCCCTTGGGGATGGTCAAAAGGGATTGTGGTATGACCACCCCCCTTGGGGATGGTCAAAAACAAAAATCAAAAACAAAAAAAAATTTGTAGCTCAAGAGAATAGCTATAAAATTAACTAAAATGAGAAAAACAAATTTAGGGTAAAGATAATAGCATACACTGATTTTTGAAATATATTTGGAAAATCTATATTGCAAGTATCTAATTGGGTTTGGAAATGCAAATCTAGAACTTAGGAAAGAAAGGGAATTGGAGATGACACATTTGAGAGGCATCTGAAGATAGGTGGTATTAAAACAATAAGAGATTATCCTTAAAGTGGAGTGTAGGATGAGATGAGAAGAAATCTTTCACTTATGTAACACACATTTAAAGGTTGAACAGAGGAGGGGAAGGAACCAGTGAAAGAGGAGGTGAGGAGGAGGAAGAAACTTGAACCTCTAAGAGGTCAATAAGGAATAGTATTAAGACATGTTAGTCAACAGTGTCAGATATTAGAGGGAGTCAAGGACAGCTGATTGAAGCATAACCTATTGTAATGTGGTTAGAGAAGAAATAAGTTAAGAGGAATTGGCAAATGACTGAATTTGGAGTGGGCAGGTTAAAGATAGCATGCCTATTTCTAGAATAGGTGAGGGAGGAGGAGGAGGACGCTCTGTGAACTGAGATAAGAAACATTGGTAGAATACTGTGGCTGGGTGGGAATATAATATGTTTGACTTGGGACATGATGAGTTTAAGAATAATAAGGCATATTTTTCGCACTTTTGATTAAAACTATAAATGTAGGGGGGCAATATAGATATGTACATAATCTCCTTGTGTAGAAAGCAAGAAAGAAATGAAATTATTCTTTTTAGGTATTCCAAATGTTTTAAAATGTCGTCTATACATTTTTAGCTCTATAAAGCTGGTAAAGTATATAGAGTTTATATGGAGTTTACTATCTTTAATCAGATGATGTTTGACTAAACTTAAAGAGATATGATGCTAATTAAGATTTAGTTGCTCACAAGTCCCCAAAGTCAAATCAGATTCTTACCTGGAAGCATATGAAGTATTTAATTCTGTGCTTTTCTTCTCTTTTCCAGAGATGCACTGAACAAAATGAAAGATGTATATGAGAAAAATCCACAAATGGGGGATCCGGGAAGTTTGCAGCCTAAATTAGCAGAAACCATGAATAACATTGACCGCCTACGAATGGAAATCCACAAAAATGAGGTACGTTTGTTATTCAGCTGTAATCTTAAGATTTATTATTATTATTATTATTTTATAAAATTTTGCCAGAGGGCACGTGTGCTTGCAGGAGAGAGAGAAAGTGAGAAAGTACTCTGCGCTGTCCCCACGGGGGATGGTCATGCCAAAATCACTTCTCTATTTGTCCCTCCTTTTGGGATTCTGAGCACACATGCACCTTGTATGTTTCAAGTCTCAGGGTCTGGGACTTGAACTGCACAGTTGACCATGTGGGATCCAGCTGCTTTAACCACCACATCACAGGCTTGCCTAAGATGAATTATTTTTAGTAATATGGGCATAAACTTCATTATGATAGATTGTTTTCCCTAGAATTATATTAAAATAATTATATTTAATTTTAGGGTTTGTGATCTAAAAGTAATTATCATTATGGTATCTATCGTTAATCTTCTATTGACATTTTTAACCTAAATTTTTATATAAGAATATATATATTTATATTTTAGTTTTTTTTAAAAAAGAATTATTTGATTTAATTTTATGTATTTATTTATTTATTTAACCAGAGAGGGACAGAGTGAGAGAGGGAAAGTGAGAAAGCAAGCCACGAGGTCCAGGACTCGAACTGCAGTTGGCCATGTGGAGTCCAGCACCCTTAACCACCATGCCACCTGTCAGTCCCAGTATTTTATATTATTTTATTGCCATGGGGCACATGTGCTCACCAGGGAAAGTACACACTCTGATGGGGCATGATCACACCACACTTCCTTCTCCTTTATTTCTCCAGCCTACTGGAATCTTGGGCATGCCCTATGTGGTTTTCAAGCTACCAATGTTAGGATTTGAACTGTGGTGAGCCATGTGAGATCCAGCTCCCAGTACATAGTGCTTATCCACTACACTATGGTGCCAGTCCATATTATTTTTTAACTTAGTTGTAAAGTTGGTCATTGACCAATTTGAATAAAGGTTATATAATTGTAAAAACTCAAAGCATATTTTAAATGCAGATATCTTACAAATTTTTACCCATGTTTATTGAGCTCAGTTCTTATTTATTTACTTTTCCTAAGGCTTGGCTCTCTGAAGTTGAAGGCAAAACAGGTGGGAGAGGAGACAGAAGGCATAGCAGTGACATAAATCATCTTGTAACACAGGGACGAGAAAGGTCAGTTTTTACATTTTATTTCTTTTCCCTAAACTTTTCTTGCTCTTTTGCCTTAAATTTTACACATTTCTATCCCCCCCTCCCCCGATATAACAAGCTTGGTTTTTAACAACTTCTGTCTTTTGAACTCAAGTAATTTGATGTTTAACAACAGTTCCAGGTGAAGAATGAGGTTTTATCTTGCTATTTGGTTTGTTTGTCGTACATAAGAAAACAGAACTAGGGATATAGAAAAAAAATTGGATCTACACTCCAGGGCCATAGGCTACTCAGGCATGGGAAGATTCCCTTCATGTTTAGGTAGAGTTGGATTGATCATGCTGAACACAAATTTTACTGTCAAGTTGGTCAAAATTTTGTGAAGGAAAATAAAAATCCATATTGTTAGTTTGGACTAGAACTTCCTAAAGGCATTTTGCAGTTTCCACGTGTCTCTTATGACATTTTCCTCGTGGTATAATTGATCTTTTTTCTCTCCATAATAAGTTGACAAATTAGGATTCACTTTTACAGAATTTGAGCTATCTAATATCAAGTCTTGGTTTACTAAACTTAGATACAGTGTAATTTGAGCAAATTCACTTTTAATATTCTCCGAGTCTCAGTTTCTTAAAATATAAAATGAAGGTTAAAATACTTATCATACATTGTTGTTAATAATAAAGGAAATAATGTCTATAAAACACCTGGTAGTAAAATAGCTTATTAATACTAGGTACTTAACAATGCTAGTTTCTTCCTTTCTTTTTGTCCCCCTAACCACTTTTTTTTAAAGAATTTTTAAAAATTTTATTTATTCATTTTTTAATTTCACCCGAGACAGAGAGAGAGAGGGAGAGAGAAAATGAGAAAGCAATCCACCAGGTCTAGGACTTGAACTGCAGTTGGCCATGTGGGAGTGTCCAGAACTATAACTACCATGCTACCTCCTAGTCCCCAAGAATTATTTTATTTAACTTTATTTATTTTTAATTTGACCAGAAAGGGACAGAGTGAGAGACAGGCAGAGAGGGAAAATGAGAAAGCAAGCTTCCAGGTCTGGGACTCAAACCATGGCCAGCCAGGTAGGAGTCCAGCACCCTTAACCACCACACTGTCTGCCACCCTCCCAACCACTTCTTTAATATTTATTTTATTTTATTATTATTTTTTAATTTGACTAAATTATATTTTAATTTGACAGAGAGAAGGAAAGTGAGAAAATAAGGCACTGGGTCTGGAACTCAAGTAATGGTTGACCGTGTGGGAGTTCAGCTCCTCAACTACCATGCCACTTGTCAGCCCCTAAAATTTATGTTTAATATATCAAGCAATAGCCACAAATAACTGTTTTTTGTTATTATAAAAGCCAAATGAAAAGGATAAAAACTTTCGTGTGTGTGTTAGTGACTTCTAGGCTTATTGAAATTGCTGCTAAATATAATACTGAAAATATTTCCATGATTAAAACCTTAGTCATTTGATTCTTTTTTTTCTTTTTTTTTTTGGAGAGGTTTTTGCTATAGGGCGCGTGCGCTTGCCAGACAGACAGAGACAGACAGAAAGCGAGAAATCCCTTCTCCTCCATTCTCCTCTCAGGATCTTGGGCACGCATGCACACGTGCCTGGTGTGAGTTTAAGCCACCGGGTCCAGGATTTGAACTGCGGTCGACTACATGGGAGTCCAGCTCCATAGCCATTACACTAACTGCTGGTCCCCCAGTCATTTGATTCTTTAGCAAAACTAACTTTTTTTTTATTTTTAGAACTTTTAAGAAAAATAAAATGCCTTTGTATTACCTGCCCTTTCAGATTTTCTGTTGCTAACTTATTAACATGTTTAATAGGAAGCTAATTTTACTTACTATTTTAGTTAGGAGTTTTTTGGTTCTTAGTGACAAGGTGAATATTTTACCTATACTGGTGTAAACTAAAATGGGTTCATATTAGCTCATTTTTTGGAGAGCTTTGTCTAAGATGTTAGGTGAAATCCTCAGAAACAGTTTCTCTCCACTTCATAATTTTTCCTTCTATAGTGTTGGCTTCATTTTAAGGCTCCATGCAGTGATCTTCCAAAGTGCAAGGCCAGTAGTCCTCCAGGTTCACATCCAGTGCTAAGAAGTGAGCTTCTTTTCCAGCAGACCCGAGAAGAAGTCTCTGTGCAACTCTTGTGTCTGACTGGGTTATAGGACACTCATGAACTGTTCACTTTGTTCCTACAAGTGCTTGGTTGATGGTCGCTCAGGGTCCAGAATAGAAGCAACTCTACCTGAAGCTTGCGAACAGAACCTGAGTTGAATGGATCCCCCAAGGAATCTTAGAGTTCTTTTGTCAAAAGAGGGAATGACAAGTCTGGGATGATTAAAGACAAATATCTGCTACATTTTTCCATTATACCTCTAGGTCTTGTAAGAGGTATATACTTACTGAATACTCAATGCCTAGAAAATTATGATCTTTTAATTTTTTTATTTTAGGAAATGAAGCATTTTATATTAGAAGAGTCATTGTTTAAGAAAATAGGACTTGGGACCAGCAGTTAGCGTAATGGCTATGTCGCTGGATTCCCATGTAGTCGACCACGGTTCAAGTCCCGGACCTGGTGGCTTAAACTCACACCAGGCGCGTGTGCGTGCGTGCCCAAGATCCCGAGAGGAGAATGGAGGAGAAGGGATTGCGGCATGGCCACCCCCCCTGGAGGGTGATTTCCTGCTTTCTCTCTCTCTGTCTGTCTCTGTCTGTCTGGCAAGTTCACGCGCCCTATAGCAAAAACCTCTCCAAAAAAAGAAAAAAAAATTCAAAGAAAACCAGTGAAGGTTGTATATTTAAAACCTGAAGTAGAGACTTTATAACTTAGATTTTCTTACACGACATGTGACCTCCTGTACGTATTTTCTACATAGTGGTAACAGGATAATTACAGGAGTTCAAGTTTGGCAGATGGCAAGAAACCTTGAAAAAATTTTATCCTTTTATTATTTTTCAAAGAAACTGGCCCCAGTGAGGTTGGGTGATTTATTCATGCCATAAAACTAGACACTCACAATTTTGGGACAGAGAACCTACGTTTCCTGTTTTGCAGAGCTATGATCGCTCAACAATTCCTTCGGCTGATAAAGTAATCTTCTGCTTTCATGATCAGGTCAATAAAAATGAGTCCACTTTAAGTACAAACAATGACTTGCAGTGGCACTGTATGGCTGAGGGAAAGCAAGCATCAAAAACAGGATAATTACATGACCTCCGCCCTTAGTGACTCATAATCAAATGGGAAAGGCTGTTCACACACCCACTCTAGAGAAAAACCTTAAAAAAAAAAAAAAAAAAAAAAAGAAAATAGGACTTAATTTGAAGCCATGTCATAGAGTATTTATTTATTTATTTTTAATTTGCAAGAGAGTACATGCACTGACTGGAGGAAGACTGCAGCGGGTAGGAGGAGGGGGAAGTGAAAGTGAAAAGCACCCCCATGAGGGGATGGTCACAGTCCCTTCTTCATTTCTCACTCCTTTCACAATTTGGGGCATTTACACACACCCAGTGTATTTTTCAAGCCACTAAGTCCAAGACTGGAACTGTGCCATATGAGATCCAGCCTCCTTAACTTAACGTCATGCCACCAGCCAGCCTGTCATAGGATATCCAATTTCTGAGTTAATCTTGTGGAGTCCAACGCACAGATAATATTATAAAGAGTTTCCGTATCTGTGATACTCGATCAGAGATTATTTTATCTTTTGTAGTCCTGAAGGAAGTTACACTGATGATGCAAATCAAGAAGTTCGTGGGCCACCCCAACAGCATGGTCACTCCAATGAGTTTGATGATGAATTTGAGGATGATGACCCTTTGCCTGCTATTGGACACTGCAAAGCTATTTATCCTTTTGATGGTATGTTTTGTATAATATATTGTATTTGATAAAATTGTTTTTTTAAAGTATAAAAACATTTAGTCACTCACTTTCGTGGCCTTAGCTAAATAGCATATTGTCAGAAAATTAAAATCTCAGTTAATTAGTACACATACTTTTGTTTTAACTATACTATAGATATAGAGAATTTTCTTCCACACATAAAATTGAAAGAAAATGACCTAATTGTTGAATTTGGTTGATACATGTACTCAACAAGGTGAAGCAGGTTGAGCATGCAGCCCAACCCAAGAAGTGGATATCTGGGAGGAGTTACTTCACGTTCTTCCTTGTTGCTTATTCCCATTGGGAGGCAGGGACATGGCTGCCATCCCCATGCCCTGACTCTGGGATGACATGGGAGCAAATGTTACTTCTGATTTTCCTCTCTGATTGCCGGAGAACAAGCTCTGTGAGGGGAGGAAGGCCTGCTAGCCCTCTCATACAGATATTTAATTACTTTTCCTGCTCTTGAACACTAAAACATTATTTTTCTCAACTAAAGGCAGAGCAGAGTAACACTTTTGTAATAATTACTGTAAAATTGTATGTGATTTAAGGTCTTTTCCAGCCACCCATTGTATTGGTTTTAAAATTGAGTGAAGTCTTTAGTTTTCCTCACCCTTTGAAAATATATTGAATTTAAGATCTTGCTATAATGTGATCTAGGGAGTAGGGAAATAACGTATGTTAAGTGAAGATTCACTTACGAGAATTGTTACTGCTAAGCAGATCAGGAATGGTTGGGGATGGGAGAAAGGGGGTCTACATGCTGATGAAGTCTTTAAGGAAGTTTGTGTTTTATGGTCATTCTGCTTCTGTCATCACTGGAGTTGACCCTGTATCTATCTATCTTTCTTTTTCTTTTTCTTTTCTTTTCTTTCTTTCTTTCTTTCTTTCTTTCTTTCTTTCTTTCTTTCTTTCTTTCTTTCTTTCTTTCTTTCTTTCTTTCTTTCTTTCTTTCTTTCTCTTTCTTTTTTGAGAGATTTTTGCTATAGGGTGTGTATGCTTGCTGGAGAGACAGACAGAAAGCGAAAAATCATCCCCCAGGAGGATGGCCACATCACAGTCCCTTTTCCTCCATTCTCCTCAGGATTTTGGGCATGCACACATACATACCTGGCATGAGTTTCAAGCTGCCAGATCTAGGACTCAAACCATGGTCAACTCTGTGGGAGTCCAGTGACGTAACCATTATGCCACCTGCTGGTCCTGAGACTATATTTTTCTCTGTTCTCTCTTCAAACTATATTATTTCCTTCTTTCTTCCCACCCTCTCACTGCCTTGTTAGTATTTTCCTGATCCATATCTCATGAATTTTTTAAATAGCAACACTACTCAAATTTGGGAAAAGAGTTAGAATAGTAAAATAGGAGTTAGAATACTCTGTCAAATCATGTAATGTCACAATATCTCAGTTACTTCATCTGTTACATGGAGGCTTTATTAATCCAGCCTCACCCTCTTTATTATTGGACGACTCAGATGAGGCATTATGGATGAAGATGTTGGAGAAACTACAAAGCATCGTGGGAGTATTATTGCTAATGAGAGTCCATGGGCCTGGTGTTCCAGGTCCATTGAAACCTAGGGAAGTTTTATATTATTTTGTGTGTTGTATTTGTAATTTTTATTAAAAATGACCACTCTGCTTAGATTATGCTTGTGCTGTGAAAACTCTGATCTAGGACATAATGAAGGTACTCTGGCAATGAAAGAAGGAGAAGTTCTGTACATTATTGAGGAGGACAAAGGTGACGGATGGACAAGAGCTCGGAGACAGAATGGTGAAGAAGGCTACGTCCCCACGTCATACATAGATGTAACTCTAGAGAAAAACAGTAAAGGTGCAGTAACTTATATCTAAATGCATTAGGCAGCTTTGTGCCATGTGTGGCATAGGAATGGTAACATGAAATGAGACACATTCAACAGGTTGGAAAAAATAAGAAAACTTAAAAGGCATCCAAGATTTATTGTTCACTGTGTGAGCTGAGTGTAGGCCTGACCTTAGAGATGTGAATATTATCATAAGAAACTGCTACGTGGCGCTTTACTGTTTGAGTAATGTTGGTGTGAAGCTTAATTGATGCCTTTTGCTTTATGTCCTGCTTAAGTCTGTGTGAAGGATTTGTGTTTTTTCTGCCTTATAAAAAGCAGAATTTGATTCATTGGGCAGGAATCTATATAGAGAATGATCCCCCATCCTCTCTACTTCAGAATGCACAGTAACGGTAGTGATTCACATAGTTGGACTGCTCCGAAGTGCTATTGAAAGCTAATTCCCAAAAGAGTAGTTTGTTCCAGGAATTTGAATCTGTAGCTACAGTTTTCAGAGAGAAAAGTAGTAGTTAGCTAACTAGGTAAAGTAATAATATTATGATTTCCATTTTCCTTTCCAGTTTTAACTTTGACTTTCTAAAGGAAAAAATAAGCATCTAGTACGTGATCTATTTAAGTAGTAGATTAATCAGGAGACCTGCAAAATAAATCACCCGGTCTACCTCTTAATGAATAAAACAGCTTTCTCCTGAGAACTGAAAATATTTTCAGGTTTACTGGTGATTTTCAATAATATACAAGTTACCTTCCTTCCAAATTAATATTTTGCTTATACTTTTCCATTTTGAAAATGTCTTTTAGGAAATAAAAGACTGCTTTAGCGATTACTTAGTATTTAGCAGTTATTCTTAAGAAAATAGATTCTAAATCAACAAAGATAGAGGGAATGTTGAATCAAGAAGTAGTACTAGCAAACTTTTAAAAGAGAAACAGCTTTTTTGACTAACAGGGTTAAGTTAATGTCCCTTAAGGGCATTTCCTCATTTTATCCAAATCATCAGTTACTGGAATAGATTTAGTTAATTTCAACAAGCTTTTGTTGGAAGCACCATGCAGCCCAGGACTGTGCAGTGTTCACTGACCACACCCTGAATGAGTTGTGTGGGGAGGTAACGTGAGGAAGCAGTGAGACTGGGTCTTGATTTTGCTTATGTTTCAGTTTTTTCTAATGTTTTCTGTAGCTGACTATAAAATGATTTTAGAGACATTTGGGACAGAGACTATAAACTGAACACACCTTTTGGTCTTACCAAAGGTCTTCAGTAATTGTTCTTTTCTTTTTCCTCCTGGACTGCAGGTTCCTGAAGAGGGTTTCTGAGGAAATGGGCAAGATGTTGAAGGAGGTTACATGCAGCTGCTTTTGGGGGGAGGGTATTAGAGTTGGCAGGCTCAAAGAGAGAGTGAGAGAAGCTAGTTGCATGAGTGCATGCAGATTTTTTTTTTTTTACTAACTTCATTAGCATTTCCATACATTGTCCTTTAAAAATCACTGTATTACCAATCTTTAAATTTCTAGTTCAGTTATTCACACAAAATAAGAAAGCCAACAATGGCTGACCTTTTTCGCATTTATTTTACTGTTGCCCCAATGAGAATGAATGCAGAGCTGTCTTAAAATGTGTCTTAACATCAGCTGTCCCAACAGGACTGTTTCCATCCCAGCTCTGTTTTAATTGGCCTTCAGACCCACCGTCTGTTAGAATCCCTGCCATTTGCTAGTGTCTGCCTGCGCCACCTCCGAGCTTGCTTAACATCCTGTTGCATGTCTAGAGTGATCAGTCTAGATTTTTCAGGCATGTCTTTATAATCCCTTGTTCTTGTCAACCTTTGTTTTGTTTTACATTTGTAGTATAAACCACTTTGTCAGACATCTTCAGCACTAATGTTTCCATCCTAGTATTCATGTTTGCTGCTATAACTTCCCCACTACAAACATTCCAGTTTTGGCATTATGAAGAAGTAGTCTGTGAACCTGAAGTATTTATGATAAGAAAAAGAAAACATCTCTGCTCTAGCCTACAGCCCAATTGAAAGAACTCTGAAACGTGACACATCTTCAGCACCTCAGTCTGGAAAGAATCTATAGTCAGCACTGAAATCCTGGCATCATAAACACAGAAGATACTCACCACCTCAAGACAAAGGACTGTTGTCAAAAGTCAGCTGCTTCCATTCAAATGCTGCCTTAAACTAGAGTGCCTAAATCTGTTGATTGCCAACACTACCACTACAGTATCCCACAAAGGGCTTTGTGTGTCAGCTCAGTGCGACCTCCTTTCACTCTGCGGCTCTGCTGCAGCTGCCGGTGTAGACTCTGTA